TCTTTCAACCTGAGCTGAGCCGCTTCAGCGCAGAAGCCCGCGGGCCCATAAATTTAACTATCAAAGCTTTGGAAGCCAGCTCAACCCGGGTTCAAACACCTTTCAAAACTTGTCTAATGAGTTCGAGTATTTATTGATTGCTTCAAGCTAGAGCTGAAGCTGATGCTGATGCTGAATCGTTTCGCCACACGCTGCGTGCGGCATCGCATCTCCGTTTGCGTCCACAAAGATTGCGCAAATGCTCGGCTACAAAATGACATAAATTTTTGCCAATTTACGCGAATTTCGTTGCCGCCAGCTGGTCCCGAAGTCAACTAGTTGGATTTGTCGCGATATGCCCGGGCTACATGTGTATCACTAAAGCATTTGCTCATTTCTAATGCTCAACGTGCCACAATTTGTTTACATTTTGCAGTTTGATTAGTTGGAAAATTTACCATCATTTAATTAAATTACTTATGATGCAGTTGTGCTTACGTATGAACGACAATGAACGGAAATGGCGAGCAATTTGCATGCGGCAACTGTTGCTATTTTTTTTTTTTCTTCTTTCGGTCACTTAGGCAACACTGGAAGTGAAAGGCGTGCGCCATTTCAATGTAGTATTTGTGCTGCTGCTGCTGCAATCAGCGAGGGGGCAGGGCAACGACTCGCGGCTCTCAACTCATGAGCTCGTGCCGGTTCTTTGCTGATTTCTAGACAAAATTGCAGTAGACTTCTTTAAGTGTAACTGAAGAGCGCTCAATAGAACCGTTTCACTTACTGTTATGATTATTTGACAGCGTTTTTCTTAAACATTGTAAAAACTTCATCTTTCCCCGGCATTATGTTGTTAAATGCAAGAAACTCTTGTTTCTGAATATCATATTCATAAATAACAACAATATATATTAATTTCATAGTTTGTTTTTTTTTTTATTTTGGAAGCTACCCAAATAGTATAGGCTAGGAAGATCGATTTTTGTGGTTACATTGGTTACCTTATTGGTATGGGTTTTTTGTAGTGTTCTACACTCAACTGTGAAATAATAGTGAAGAAAGTATTTAACCTCTTTTGTTAACCATCAGCATCAAAATTTATATTTAAATATATTTCAAAATATAGGTAGTAATTAGGTATTTTTTATATAAAGATAAAAACTTGGTCCAGGGAAGGCCGTGTAATATGCGGAGGCCATCTATGTATCTCCATAGACAAATGTATATATGGCATGAATGTTTTTTACACCAATCACGGACCAAACTACTTCACTCTTTGTATATATGTACGTATATATGTAAGTATGTATATATTTACGAATGTATGTAAGTATATGTGTATGTATGAACGAATGTATGTATCTATGTATTACGTAATTTCTCTTACAATAATTACCAACTCCCCCGCAGCAAACTAGGAAAAATATTAATTTAAAAAGCGCCTTACTATGCGATTCTCATGAATTCAAGTAAGCTTTGGCAGGCATGCTTTAATTATTAGTGTTGTGTGAATCAACAAGTTGTGTTGGGACCATCTAATAATCTTTATATTTGTGTGTGTGTGTTTGTGAGTATGTATGTGTTTATGTACGTACGTACGTATGTATGTATGTGTACGCATTTGTGTACTTAGGTATGTTATGTATGAATGTTTGTATGTGTAGGCATGTGTGTTACGTATGTATGTGTGTATGTATATACATAGGTATGTGTGTAAGTATGTTTGTCTAATAAATGCCAATTAAATAATCATTCATGCTTTTGTGAATTATCGTGAAAATACATATTTTTTTCCATATGTATAAATAAGAATATGTACGAAAGCAATTTAGGCCTTGGCACGTGTTAGCTTCTTGTTATATATAAATAGAATGAAATACAATAAAGCTATGGACTAAATTAAATGGTTGAATTAAATTAAATCAGCTGCAAGTTTTGCACTAGATTTCTCTACTGCTCGAATCTATTGTGTTTATGATTATGTTATTTAAATAATATTTCATTGGAAATGAAAAATATACTTGAATTGTCCTTTTTGTGTCGTTTCCCATTAAAAGCATATTGCATATATTTCGTGTTAAATTATACATCATGACATTCAGTAAAATTATCCTGTTGAGAAAGATCCATACGTTTTAATTGGAATTTGGCATTACTATCCTTAGTGCAACGTGGTATAGTTATGGTATCATCCTCGTGCGCTGCTCCCACGATCCCCAACACATACAGATGTAAAGAAATAGAAATAGAACTCGTTTCGCAGCGGCACACAAAAAACGCTAACGAACCAAGTGTAGGTCCCTAATGGCAGGCACATGTGCTACGTGGCAGCAAACGAGCTGCAGTCACCAGTCGCCAGTTGCCAGTTGGCAGTTGGCAGTTAGCAGTTGGCAGTTGGCAGTTGGCAGTCAGCAACTCAAACCGAAACTAGAATCCAAACAGAATCCGTATTCGAGTCTGATTCGGCGAAACCCAGCGCCAAGCACAATGTGTTGACTGTTCTAGCAAATGTCCGAAAAAGAAATCGACGCAGTCACGTAAAATTATTTTAATAATCACATAACTTTCGGCATTTACACGCCATGCGGCCCATTGGGGAGTACTCGCCGGGTAGGGCAAGCAAAAACAAAATGTCAATAAATTTTTTCCAACAACCAACAAAAAGTTGAACAGAACAACAAGTTAAAGTAAGGGTCGGGACCGAGGGCGAGGGCGAGGGTGAGGGTGAGGGCGAGGGCGAAGCTGACATCCGAAGCAGCTCTTAAGTGGGATTTGCGGCGCACTTTAGTGTCAACTTTAACAATAAGTTGGCGCAGAAAGATGAAGAGTGAGTGCGAGTGAATGAGTGCTGCAAATGTTGGGCTAGATTGGGGTAGAGCTGTGGCATTGTCGTCAAACAAAACATTCAGTGTGTGCGCACACACATAAGTTAAATATTTTTTGGTACGCAAAACTTTAGGCATCAACTGTGGCTCTGCTAATGAAATAAACACCCACGGCCATTGGAGCTCAGAACTTGAGCTAAGTGCGCACAGCAGGTGGCCAGAAAGTTAAAGCGCCTTATGGCCAAGTCGGCGATGGTGTATCCGTCAGATACATTTCATTTACCTGCCTGCCTAGCATTGCTAGCCACATGAAAGTCAGCCTTTCGCTTCTAGGTCTCTGGTTTGCACCAGGCATTTGGCCACACTTACCAACTGTCCCGAGAGACGGCTCTACTTTCAACCGCTCTGTGAAGGCAGTGCAGTCATTTGAAATAAATTACTTTTTGCACCTGATGAAAACTAAGCCAGCAACTGGCCCACAACAACAGCAGCAGCAGCATCGAGTCGAGAAACTCAACAAAACTCTGCCTAGCATTTTCTTTTTCATTTTTTTCCTATAGCAGCATTTATTGTCATTATTATTTTGATACTAGTTGTAACACCGTTTTTTTTATTTTTGTTTGTTTTTATTTTTTCTTCTGCTGCTGCTGCTATCTGCCGCTAGATTTATGCCAACAAAAGCAAACAGTAAAAAATATTTTGCTTTTAATTTTTTCTTTTGTGATTCCTCGACAGCTGCATTACAAAAGTTGCCCAAAGAAAACAGTTTGCATTGCAATTTTGACTTGGTTTATTTTTGTTGCTTTGTTAGCTTTGTTTTGTTATCAACCAACAAAATGGAGAATATAAAATAGAAAACAAAATAAGCAGCGAAAATGTTTCAAAAAGTGCCCAGACAAAAATGAGGGGCCAACAAGAGCCTGTTTCCGGTCTGCGGTGACCGGCTTAGCCCTTATGGAGTGGGCCCAGCCGACCAAATGTGTTCATCTCCTTACAACTTTTTGGGAGTTCTCACGGAATAATAAATAAAATTCAGAACTTTATCTATTCAATAGCGACTTAAAACATTTTAAATTTATGTCAAAAAAAATTACTGAAATTTGTCTAAGCAGAAAAGTTAATTTATGTCAATCGCAACAACCTTCGCTCATTATCAATCATTGTCAATCTATAATCAAATACATTTAAATAATTTCGAACTATTCTAATAGTCATACCTTATCTTTATTTGGCAATAAAATACGTCAATCATACTCAATCACTATCAGCCAGTAATCTTAATTATTCTCCAGATTTCTCTACGTCATTATGAACTACTTTAATTGTCATACCTTACCTATATTTGGCTTTAAGGAAATGTCAATCACCATCAATCCGCAAAGTAAATTATTCCTCAGATTTCTCCAAACAATTTAAAATTATTCTAATAGTCTTACCTTATCTATATTTGGCTATAATAATTATCAATCATTATCAATCAGGTTTTCCTAAATATTAAATTGTCAAGATCAATCACCATTAATCCGCAACCCAAATTATTCTTTAGATTCCTCAAAACAATTTTGAGTTATTCTAAAAGTCTTACCTTATATTTGGTATTAAAAGTGGCAATTATTATCAATCGCCGTCAATCAGTTTCTGTAAAATTCAAAATGAATTACTGTATAGAAATTCTATTTCATATTTCAACGTTTTATTCAGCTACAGTTTAATAAAGTCACAAAGTTTAAGAACCCCACTGTGCAGTCTGTATACCTTCACTCCCATATTGTTTGTTAATTTCTTGTATAATTTTTATAGTTGCTTTCTTTGCTGCATTTCATTTGCTGGGGCACCCTTGCCCCGCTTCATTCTCTGCTGTTTTGTTTTGGCTTTTCAGAACTTAATTAAATGTTGTCACAGCGCATACTTTGTAGTTTTTGCTGGGGCAGCCAAAGGGCAACGCCTGCAAGAGCTACAACAAACAGAACCAGGGCAAGGGAACCGGATGGACGGGGTAGTAGGGACGGGACAGTTGTGAGGGTATCCAAGTCTGTGTGTGACGGCGATTCGAAGTGTAAATGAAATAATAGCTGCTAAAAACCAATTTGGCGTAAATTACAAAAGCTTAACGAGTATATAAATAGAATGCTTGAGCTGACAAGGGGCAACCTTTGACTAACAATGTTTCAATCATCTTTCTCTTCTATTTTGCAGTTCCGTGGAGCTGATTGCACTGCTGGCCATATCGTGCACATTTTTTCTGTTCATGCACACAAACAAATTAAATAGTCGACTCAAGGAAATGGAGGTGAAGCTACAGCCATCCGAGTTCTCGGCCCTGGGACTAACTGGCAATCACATAAGCGGACATGATGCGGGCAGTAAGTAACTAAGATATGAATCTAAGCACAAACGCATCTTAAACCCTCTGCCTGTCTGAGACAAGGCCGCAAGGCTAAAACTGTGTCAAAGTTTTCGCTCGATTGTACATGCTGCATGCGTAGATACAGATACAAATGCAGCTGTCAGATAAGCCCTTTGCACAGGAAGCCAAAAAACAAACACACACACACACACACATATATATATATAGTAGCTACTGCGGCTACGCCCAATTGATTTTTAATGACCACATTGACCCGGCCTATAAACAAAGCTCCAAATGATTTTTTGTTAACACTTTTTGTGCAATGTTTTGGCTGGCAAACCATAAATTAGTCAAACGTTTTAAGCCAAATTAGTGCCCAATTCTTTATGCATGCATTAATTATAGCAAAGTACATGCACACACAAACTCACGATAAAATCGCCACCAAAAAGCTGCTAAATTAAAATAAACATAATAAATACATATTGGAGATATGTCCACAGATGCAGTTCTAATAGCACCGCGGCCAATTTATAATAATAATATGCACCAGCTAGTGTACATATGTATCTATTTTTCATATTTTAGTGTACTCATTAATTATTTAGGCAGGCCAGCGAGCAGCTTTTCCCTGTGGGTCCAGTTCAGGGATCCTAACAGCAATTTAAGCTTTTAATATGCGTTAAGCATCGGAATATATGCATTATGTTAGATTAGAAAAAAAAAATACATAAATGATGCAGCATATTAAAATATAATTATTAATTCAATTAGTAAATATGCATAAGCCAACTAGAGCGGGTGCAATTTTAAGCTGCGGAAATTGTGGATTATGTTATTCCATGGAAATGTTATAAGCTTGGAATATGTTTAATGCTAGATAAATAAGATTTAATCGAATCATATTTTTCAAAATGCAGCACGTAATTAGAGCTAATGTGGTTATTAATTGAGGTAGTTTCTATATAGTTCCCAGAAGGTTAAACATAATATTTAAAATATTTCTATGACCATGGACTTCTAGTTGATCGCATTTTATCCTTGACTACAGCACAACAAATATGTTCAGCCACAAATGACTATTGTAGATTCAATGTTACAATTATGATTATGAGGCATTATACAAAAAAACAAAATATATATATATATATATATATATATATGTATCTATATATGTATATTTGTACAATGACCAGAAACTTTAGTGTCATTTAAGTGGAGCTCACATTGCATTTGTAAATTGAAACTTCTGAAACTTATTTGGCTGGCTGATAGGTACTTGACACGTTTCTTTGTGTTTTATAAATGTTTGCTGGGGGCAATGTGCCCCACTTGAGTCAAGTGGAATTTGGCTATTTGTATATTTCATGACTTTTAGCTGAAACAGCGCTCTTGAGGACGTCATTAGAACGTTGTTAGCTGAACCCATACTTATGCCCAGCCAACTAACTAATAACTCTATTATTAGCCGAGCTGCAACTGTGAAATACGAGCCGAAATCAAATCAAACTTTCCGCATGCAAAACCCTAATTTCAATGCCGGAAGCTTGGGTTCGTCTAGGCCTGCAATCCACTTGCAAATTAGTCGGAGCTGCTTGGCGGCAGCTGCCACTGACGAAATACGAGTCGAGTCGAGTATGCCGAAAACCTGGTTGGCTGATCCATACGTGCTAGTTATGTAGGGGGGTTGGTTACGGGGATATCGCGACACGGCTGCTTCACGCCTAAGTGCAGTGATTGCCGCTAACAAAAGCCAAGTGAGCACTGCACAGTGGTTTGAAAGCTTCAAAATAATTATGCAAATCCATATAAAATATGCCAGCGGCGTGCTACACAGCCCAAACAATTCGGTTTGGGTTTGGTTTTGCATATTTTTGTTTATTTACCTTAAACTTTAAAAATAACTATGAAATGAATGTATTTTCAATTTACAATTGCCCGTTGTACTGTGAATATTGCCAAACGTAAATATTTTCATATGCAAGATGCGGGCTATATTTAATTTTTCGACCCAGAATTTACAGCTATCAAAAATGGATAAATAATGCAATGTCTGGGGCTTAAATTAGTTTATTTTTCAAATATTCGTAAACTAAACTCAAAAAGTAAGCAACTAAAAAACGATTTTAATCATATTATCGCTAAGCTGAAGATAAATTCTCAACAATATTGAGGTATTTGAATTGAAAATCTTCTTCCAATAGATTAAAATATTTGTAATATTTCACAAACAATTTATGCCATACCTAATAATATCAATTTCTGAGCCACTGTGCAACAGTCATGTGATCATGATGTTGATGGCTCCGACTCAAACTCCAGCTCTGGCGTCGCGACGTCTTGAAGATGCGCTCCAATACGATAGTCAGCTAGTTGTGGGTTTCCATTGCGCAGCTTTTGCTGAAGCTATTGTTTGATATTATTGCTGTTGTTGTTGTTGTTGCTGCTGCTGTTATTGTTATTGTTGTTTTTGGTGCTGCGACTGCGCACGCGTCGATTGCGCCGCAGCGAGCCCAGACGACAGATACAAATTGTCTGGTTGGGCCCAAAGCAATGCGAAATGGCTAATGGCCAAAAATAAAAGAAAAACCTTAGCGCGACGTTGATGAGATATATTGTTGTCTGCGCTGCAAAGCCAAAAAAGAAAAGTGCAATAGGCATTTAGCTTTAGCCAACCATTCATTCATAAATATTTCATATAATTGACTCACACGACTTTGAAAAATAAAACACGAGTACACTTAACGTACTCACGTAAGACAAGCTGATGACACCTCCAGTTGCCAGTTTTGTTTCGTTTTTTATTTTTTTGTGTTTTATTTTTTAAGCAGCAGCATTGAACTTGACTTGGGCTAATTAACAACAAGGCGATACGTTATGTTTTGCCGTGTAGTGCAGTGTTGTGTGCGTGTGTGCGGCTTATTTTTGCTCTAATGAACAAATTAACAAGCTAGCAAACAGTTTGAAATTCTAAATGAAAAATAAATATATGTAGGTGAAATGTGCGATTTGATAATCACACAGAACTTTTCAAATACAGGAGGAAATGTATTTGTGTTTAAATATGCGTGTCTTGTGGTAAATTTAAAGTAAAGTACTTCGAATTCTTTATTCAAGTATCAGGCAAATTGATTTTATGTAAATATATATTTAAATCAAATCAAAATTACTTTGATTTTATTTGTTGAAAATTTGTAAACAATGCCGCTTGCAATTTTATTTCTAATTAAACATGAACAAGTATGTCTTTAGTTAAAATCCATGACAACTTTGACTGCATGTAAACCAGTTTAATGCAGTTGGCAAAAACGAGTCGTAACTTTTTTCAATTGGAGCACCCGATAGGCACTTAACCAGGTATTTGGCCTTTGGGCTGGGCAAAAGTAAAACTGCAAGCAGCAGTTGCTTAGATAATGTTAGCATGTTTTCTTTTCATTTAAGTTTTCTTATTGTAGTTTCTTAAAAGTGTGCCAAAATGTTTTGCAGGTCTTTCATAAACGTATTTTTAAGATTTCTCTATTCGTTTTTCGTACGCCCGTCATTTAAAATCCTACCAGTACCTAGATTCTAGCTGGTGCAAGCCAATAATTTCCAACTGCAATTGACTTTAAGTGGCGCTCCATTATTCTGATTTTTTTTTAGTTGAACATATCGCTTGCTGCAGTTCCGCCCATTGATTGAGTGGGTACGTAAACTCATTAAGAGACTTTTTGTTCTTTGTAGCTGCCACCTGTAATGTGGTTAACCTTCAATGAATGTTCAAATGGCCAATAGCCGGAGCTAAACTGTGAGTCTGTCAATGACTCGAGAACAGCAAAAACTAGATTTGCGTCATTGTCGAGTAACAGAGAGGGGGTGTATCAGCTGTAACAACTGCATAAGAAACTGCATGCATGTAACCCAATTTCAAGACCACACAAAAAGTGCCAGAAAAAAGAAGTTAAAGCAAAGGCTTCTCTGGTCTGTTTGCGGCCTGGCCAGACCACAAAATGTATTTCACTTTGGTTCAGTGAGTTGGATACGGGTGCGATGCGATGCCAGTTGAAACCAGTTAGTCTTGGCGACTTTCATTCAGATCATTCAGTGAAACTGACCATACCAATGGCCAAAAGCAGACCACATACACAACGAATCTGGTTTATAGGCATTGGATTTGGACTCGAACTTATGCCGACTTCCTTGTTCATCAGGCTCCAGCGGGCAAATTATGAAATGCTTAGCCGCAAGACGAAAGTGGTGCAAGCTACCCACAACCCACATCACTTCTCACTCCACTCTCGCTCTCTCTCTCTCTTTTTTTTTGTCTTGCCACTCCACTCGAATCGACCGCAGTTGGCCAAAAATCAAGACGTTTTCCGCCTGTCCAAATACTGAATTGCAGTCATTTAGTGTGCAATCGCTAGCTCTTAACTCGCAAACCTGTGACCGGTGCTGCCAACCTACGCCCGGGCCTGACATATGCAAAGGCATTCAAAATTTAATTGCCCTTACAACACTGAATATGGCGGAATACGTGGACAGCTTGGAAAGGTTTCATTCACAGGATTTTGGGCCAACTTTCGAAATTGTTGATAAGACATTAAACGCTTGCGTTTTCGTTTAGACTGTACATGATAACCAGATAGGGGAGATGATCCTACATCCAAACACTCTGGAAAGTGAAAGGAACCTTCATGAGCTTGCATATTTATTGCAGTCACATTTATTTTCCAATTTCTGCCGGCTTGGGAGAAGCATTTCGAAGTGAAGTGCTCTTCCCTATCAAAAATATTGCATAATTTCTTTGTGAAAAGTAAAAGTATTGACGGCATTCAAAGGGGAGGAGTTGGCACTGCCCTGCAGTGATTGCTTAAGGTCGTCGTCGAGGCATGAACAACACAAAAGTAAATGACCGACACAAATTCAGGTTTCGCAAAGAAACATATCTAATATTCTGTAGAATATTCGAACTGGTTAATTAGCTTTAATGAGAATATGAAACTGCACATTTGTAAATATTTTTCTATCTACGAGATATTATATAAAATTTATCAGCAGCAATTTATTCGGCTATAATCAACATAATAGCCCAATAAATTAATTTCATTTTGTGTACATGCATGTCTATAACTTCTGCTGCTTGCATTTCAGAACATGACGACATTAATACTCTGCACGGCACCTATCAATATCTGAAGAGCACCGGCCAGGTAAGTGCGAGCATTTGGTATAACTATTTTATGATTCGCCTTTGCCATATAAACATGTCGTAAACATTATTGCATACATTTTGGTTGGCCATAAAAAATCAGCGAAAAACCATCTAAAGCATCAAAGTTCAGCTAAAAAACGCGTTTCTAAGGTAGCTGCTCAGCTCCTTGGTGTTTGATATTTTCTTCAAGTGTGTCTTGCCTGCTGTTTGCCTCTCACTCTCGCGCTCTCTCGCCCATCATGGTATAAGCGTTGGCTCATTTTGGTTCCACATTGGAAGCTGCTCATCGAATGTCATAGCACTCTCTCTCGCTCTCACTCTCTTTGTCTCTGTCTCACTGCCATATACATACAACATAAACATAAACACAATCAAATAGAAAACTTTGGTAGACTTTAGCTCTCTCTCTCTCTCTCTCTCTCTCTTGCTCTATTTCTGTCTCTCTTACGTATGCTCTCTAGCTCTCTAGCTCAGGCTACGACTCTCTTTAGTCTATCCATGCAGCTCTCTTTACACTAACCCAAATCTACACTTTGACTCAGTCTTGAAATTTTGTTAGCGCAGCTTTCGTTTTTTTTTTTTTTTTTTTTTTAATTTTGATTGAGTTAGCTGCCAGATGCGCCAGTTGCGACATAGAAAAGATAGAAATTCGATTTATGATTATTAAAATAAACGCTTAAAAGGTAAGTCCACCGAAGAGGATTATAATTTAGACAAATGTCAGTTGCGAAAACCGCGTTGGCGTCGATGAGTTTAGAGGAAAAAAAAATATAAAAAAATACATAAACTGTGCCCAGGCCAGATGCCTGATGACTGATACAGGTTACCAGTTGCCCCACTGCCCAATTGTGCCTGTTGCTTCAGCCAAAATCCGCTTATAGCCTCCATCTCTATATGTACCACTTACTTATGTACTTGTTGTGCTACCCACCCGTCTTTTTTGCTGTGCCTGTGCCTGTACTTGTACCTGTGCCTGTGCCTATGTCTGTGACTGTGAATGTAACAACAACGCTTGCAAACTGCATCCACTTTTGCAATCCGGCAGCTACAACACCTGACCAGCGCACAGCTGAACAACACGCCGCAGGCCCAACTGGATACACTATTCTTTAATCGAGTGCCAAAGGCGGGCAGCGAGAAACTGATGGAGCTGCTTAAGCTGTTGGCCAATCGTAACAAATTCCAGGCGCGTCGCGATCCCAAACACCTATTCGAAACGATACTCTTGGATACCGGCTTTGCACGCAATCTGCTCAAAGCTGAGATACTCAATTGCAGCACAGCCAATTCGTATACGAAGCATGTGGCCTTTCTGAACTTTGCCGCATTCGGGCACCCCTGGCCCATCTATATAAATCTGGTGCGGGATCCGATCGAGCGTCTGGTCAGCTGGTTCTACTATGCACGAGCGCCCTGGTACTTGGCGGATCGTGTTAACGCCTTTGGAAGTGACTATAAAATCCCAACATTGGAATGGCTCCAGAAGGATTTCAATCGTTGCATTCTCGAGCACGATCCGGAGTGTGTGTACGAGCAATCGGATACCGGCCATCTGGGTGATCACAGAAGGCAAACCCTGTTCTTTTGCGGACAACAGGCCGAGCTCTGCATGTGAGTAACAGCCGGCCATTAGAGGAGGGGGCTTGCTCGATTTGTTTTCTGTGGCAAAGTTTGTTCTAAAGGGTGTATGCTTACAATTAAATTAAGACCAAAGATAACTTTGAGGTCATATATGGCACTTATTTGCAGGATATTTTTCGAAAAAGTCCCATTTAAAAAAAAAATCGATATATTTAAAATACAATTCAAAGCATTGAAAGAACTAAAAAAAAGCTCAATTGAAACAACGATATTTTCCAAAAGCAATCCAGCTAAATTAAATGTTGCGACAGTAAGGAATAAAATTTAAATTTTTTTGTGAGTTTTGCCCAACTCGGGAATAAGATGGCTTGATTGAGCTTGTCTTTACATTCTTTTAGTTTTGGGGTTAAGTTACTGAGAACTCATCGAGCAGCCCTCGCAGCATAGCAGCTTAGCCCAAACTGCAATTGAAACAACCTTCACAGGCCCTTTAACTCTCAGGAGGCCATGCAGCAAGCCAAACGGAATGTGGAGAAACGTTACGCTGTGGTGGGTACCTGGGAGGATACGAATACCACACTGAGCGTGCTGGAGGCATATATACCACGATACTTTGCGGGCGCCAAGGATGTGTACTATGCGATGCGAAGGGATATGGAGAATGTGAACCGGAATGCCTTCAGGCCCACAATCAGCGAGGAGGCGCGAGCCCTGCTCAGTCGGAATCTGACGCAGGAGATTGAGTTCTATCAGTTTGTCAGGCAGCGGCTGAATAAGCAGCATATAGCATTGCAATTGGAAAAAGATCGATCAGTTAGCGGATAAGATTTCAAGAATAAAAGCTACTCTTACTTTCGCTCTGCTTGGTCTTTTCAACCTCTAAAAATTCTTCCAACTGTGTAGTTAGTTTCCTATTGCTGGTAGCTGTTAGTGGGACAGGGACTCAGACTCTCAGCATAGAACTTTAATAAAAGCCTACTTCCTGCAGCTACGTGGTCACAATGTGCACGCGGCCCGAAAGGGCGAGGAGCTGCAACAGCATGGATTAGCAAATTATCAAACAGCTCATCCATCACATAACCATGTGCACAAAGCTCTGCACGATAAACAGCTGGCAATGCCAAAGAATCTGCATGCCGAAGATGACGATGAAGCTGAGGATGATGAAGACGAAGATGATGAGCATGGCTACAATATGGCCGCGGATTTGCTCAATAATACCAAAAACGCGGAGGTGGACTTCGTCTTCTTCAATCGCGTGCCCAAAGTGGGCAGCCAATCGCTCATGGAGCTAATGCGGCGCCTGGGCAAGATCAATGGCTTTGTGCACTCACGCAATCCGGGCAGCGCCAAGGAGACAATTATGTTGCCCAAGGAGGGCCAGAAGGATCTGATTGGGGATCTGCTAACGCGGCCCAAGCCGCACATCTATAGCCAGCACATAGCCTACATCAATTTCACCAGATACCATCTGCCTCGACCCATCTACATAAATCTGGTACGGGATCCAATTGAGCGCATTATCAGCTGGCATTACTATGTTCGCGCACGCTGGTATTACAATGATATGAAGGCCAAGCTGGGCGATAAGGCCATAGCAATGCCATCGGATGAGTTCCTCGATCTCGATCTGGACACGTGTGTGCGTAAACATGATCCGCATTGCACATTTGAGCAAATGCAGATCAAAAATCCCGTGGGTGATCATCGCAGGCAAACTCTGTTCTTCTGCGGCATGAACAAGAAGCTATGCATGTAAGTAGCGAGGCGTCTGGAAACAGAAGCACTTTCTGAAACCAAACCTCCATCCAACCCTGAGCTAGGCCCTTCAATTCGGAGATGGCCATGCAGAAGGCCAAGCGCACTGTGGAGTCGGAATATGCTGTCGTGGGCACCTGGGAGGACACAAACATCACGTTAACCGTGCTGGAGCATTATATACCACGTTATTTTCGCAATGCCAAGGTGGCCTATTATCGTAAGCGCATTTATCATTCTATTATTTTTTTTTTGTTGCAATTTTTGTTGTGGGAAAAAGGATTCCTAACCTTGCGTCGACTTTGCAGTGGGTGAGGAGCGACTCTCGCGTGTCAATCGGAACAATGTCACACGCATCGTGAGCGATGAGACGCGTCAATTGCTACGCAAGAATCTGACAAATGAGATTGAGTTCTATGAGTTCTGTAAACAGCGTCTATATCTGCAATATGCGGCACTCGGCAATGGCAAGCGATTTGGCGAGGATGACTATCTGCTGATGCCGGAGCTGCGCGGTGAAGATTCGAAAGATGATTATGAGTATTAAACAGAAGTGTATATATCATTTAAGCTGTGCCAACTATTATTAAATAAATTCCTTTATACCATTACACACAAAATATGCACTTTATTCTGACCTAAGTAAACGTCTTTAGACTTTAAGTCTGTCTGTGACTTACACTGCTTGGGAATTTTAAGCCCATTGCATTGACAAATGTAAACTTAATCTTTTCGCCCACTGCTTCTCTGTGTGCTTGTGTTGTTTGTCGCTCTCTTCAACACTCTCCCTCTCTCTCTCTCTCATGAACTCTTTGCAGTTGTGGCAACTCAATCCCAAGCACCTGAACAACACCCTGTTAACCAACAGTGAGCTGCTTTTCTTTAACCGTGTGCCCAGAACGGGAGCTAAAACGCTTATTGAACTGCTGAGTCGCCTGGGCGAGCTCAACAACTTTATCCTTGAGCATACGCCTTTCTCTAGGCCGATTGCCAACCATTTAACTGTTAAGCAGCAAATAGCTCTGGGTGAATATGTTTCAGATCTGGGACAAAGCTCGGCCTTTGTCTATGTCGAGCCGGTTGGCTATATTGATTTTCGATCTCATCACTTGCCCCAGCCCATCTACGTAAACCTGGTACGATATTTGCCAAAGCATATTTGAGTTTATATTGATTCCATGATATTGTTAGGTGCGTGATCCTGTAGAGAAAATTATAAGCTGGTACTATCATAAGCGTACGCCTTGGACTGCTCTTCGCATGTATAAAACTAATGGAAAATTTCAAAAACGCGACTTCTATACGAAAAGTTTTGAAGACTGCGTCTTAAAAAGAGATCCCGAATGTCTCTATGATTATGCAATGGGCTTTCAGAACGATTCCGGTGATCACAAACGCCAGAGTTTATTCTTCTGCGGACATGCGCCCCTCTGCGAGTAGGTAGCTCCCCAGCACAGCCCTAAACTGAGTTTCTAATTTTTCTAATGATACCTGGACAGACCTTTTAATATACCTGCTGCCATAGCTCGTGCTAAGCAGAATGTGGAGCGGCACTTTGCCGTAGTGGGCTCTTGGGAGGATGCAAACGTTACCCTTGCCGTCTTGGAGCACTATATACCGCGTTTCTTTCGAGGTGTAAAAGATCTTTACTTTGGTAATTAACTTAACTTCTACGAAAAAGCACCTCAACTCTAAACCTTATTATTTTTGATAATGCAGCAGCCGAGCACAGCTTGGCCTTGCCACAACGCAATCATTGGAAGCCGAAAATTAGTGAGCAAATCAAGAGCTTGGTGCATGCTAATTTCACATTGGAGTACGAGTTCTATTATTTTTGTAAGCAACGTTTATATCGTCAATATTTTGCAATAAATCGTCATTTAGAGCTGTGATTAGAGATGGTCATCGCAAAGAGCAATGTGTATCAGCTGTAACATTGGACTTTTACATCAAACCTCGTCAAACAGAAAGAAAAAATATATATGAGATATCCTTTGGTGGTTGTTATGCCATACAAATCACCTTTTTATTCAACTGGCAGACATCTCTTCATCGTTATCGGCCAGAAGGTAAAATCGCGTATTCCCAGAGAAACTTACGAGAGGTAGTCTGTTGGCAAAGTTTGAGTTTTCACAACTTAGTTTTAAAACCCTTTTACTTTGATTAGGAAAAAATGAGCTAAAGTTCATATTGAGTTATCACTCACTAAGATATCCTTAAGCCTTGGATTTGCTTATACATAATTCTTGAAAATAAGCTCAACCGTGGGATCGTATATATATATATTTTGCCCGTACGTGCTCGTGTTCGTGCCCTAAAAACCCAGCCCACGCCCATCTCTTATGCTGAAATTGAAATCGAACCAAAATTTGTAAAGCTTTTTTTTTTTATTTTGTTAAATGAGGGTAAATACTATTTAATAGCAAGTTACACGGGACGTGCACCCCGTTTCAAGTCTAATAGACTGTTCATTTCGTTAACGTTGAAACATGCGGTCTAAACTTAAGGATTTGGCCTAGGCAAACATTTCAGTTAGAGGAGTCATTGGATCAGCTTGTTTTCAAATCTTCCACTAACTCACTTCGTTTAGCTTTCGCCTTAGATCTCTTAGTTTTGACCGGCAGTTCTTCTGTCTTCCATTCAAGCTGGCTAATCTGACAGCAGCACAACTGAACAATACACCCAAAGCCGAACGCGATTTCGTATTGTTTAATCGCTTAGAAAAGGTTGGCAGTCAGAGTATGACAAAGCTATTGGGCCATTTGGGTACCCTGCACGGTTTTGTCACCTACCGCAATGAGATACCGCCTAGCAAGAAAGCTGTATACAATTTTGAAGAGGAGGCGGCTATCGCTGAGGAACTCATAGAGCTGGAGGAGCCTTCGGTCTATGTAGAGCACAGCAACTGGATCAACTTTACGGCTCACGATATGCCCAGGCCCATTTACATAAATCTCGTGCGGCATCCCATACAGAAAGTAATGAGTGCCTATTACTATCATCGCCATCCCGTGGTCTATGCCAACAGCCTGTTGCGCAATCCGAATAAACCCAAACAGAATAAGGAGTTCTTCGACAGGAGTTTCAATGAATGCGTCAGACAGCGTATAGCTCCCGACTGTGTCTTCGATCCGCACATACCCTACAATAAAGACTGGCGAAGATTCAGTTTGCATTTGTGTGGCAATCAGAACGTTTGTGTGTAGGTAATGCCCCAACTTGTTGAACTGCTGATGGAATAATTGTTGCTATTCCCTAGGAATTTCAACTCTGAGATTGCCACGCAAATAGCCAAATTGCATGTGGAAAAGGAATATGCCGTCGTGGGCAGCTGGGAGGATACAAACATAACATTGGCCGTGCTCGAGGCATATATACCGCGCTTCTTTGCCGATGCCACAAATCAGTATTATTGTAGGTCCTTCTAAATATCCACTCACCTTCCGCTTGTCTAATTTTTGCCTGTTATGTGTGTTCAGCGCATCGGGACAAATTTATGATAAATTCGACGCCGCACGACAATCACCTAGACGAGGATGTGGAGGCCTATCTGAAGCAACAGTTCGCCTACGAAATTGAGTTGTACAACTTTTGCAAGCAGCGCCTCTATAAGCAGTATATAGCTATCAGGAAAACAAATTGAGAATTGTTCCTCGTAATAAAAAAAATATGAATTACAAATCGCAGCCAATACAGGAGTATTTTAGAGTGAACTTTGAAATGTGCGGCCTTTTACATTTCCCCGATATTCCAGCGCGAAATTTCTGCCGAGTCTCAGACTATGTTTTTAATAATACCAATATTTGATCAAAAAAAATCAATACGTTCAGTATTTATAGTTTAAGCAAAAGTTTAACAACGCACTTTTAAAAATTTAAACTTTAACAAATCATCGTATTTATTAATTAATTATGAAATCGTTTAAAGAAACGGGCGGTAGACTTTACAATAACGTCGTGACGTAAAGAAGGAACGGTATAGAATTCTCTTGCCACTCCCCTGTCCAGCATATTTTATAGCAACTTTCACCAACGAGTCTTTTCCTTTCGCTACTAATCTCAAGTCGGTATTCGGTTAGCTTGCTGCTTGCACTCACTGTACCCAGATTCTGATTGAGCTCTCAACGGTGCGCCTCGATCATTTGCAGATACTTCAGCTGAATGCCAATCAGCTGAATAACACCAAGAAGGCTGAGATCGATGTGCTCTTCTATAATCGTGTACCCAAAACAGGCAGCATGCAACTTATAGAACTGATGCGAGCCCTGGGCAAAGTGCACGACTATGAGGTGGAGAAAGATCCACAGAACGGCGGCATTCGGCCATTGCTAGACACCGCCGAGGAGGGCGACTGGATAGATAATATCGTTAATCTCGAGGATGGCACCGTATTTGCCAGTCATGTGAACTATTTGAACTTCAGCAAACACGAACAGCCGCGACCCATTTACATCAATATGGTGCGTGATCCGGTTGACCGCGTCATCAGTTGGTATTACTATATACGTGCCCCATGGGTATTTGTGCCGGGTCGTCGTCGTCACAATCGCGAAATGCCCAATCCCCAATGGGTCAACACCGAATTCGATCAGTGTGTGCTGAGCGGTGAAAAGGTCTGCACCTACATTGAGGGCTCCCTGCTGGAGCGTGTGGGTGATCATCGCCGTCAAACCCTATTCTTTTGTGGCCACAATGAGTTCAAATGCACGTGAGTGGTTGACGTCTTCTGTATTGTTATCCCAGACCATAATTACTCCAAAAAAAAAAAAAAACACTTCAGGCCCTTCAACTCGCGGCTGGCCCTGCAGTTGGCCAAACAGAATGTGGAGCGCGAATACGCGGTTGTGGGCACTTGGGAGCATACTAATGAAACTCTGGCCGTTTTGGAGGCTTATGTACCGCGCTACTTTGCGGATGCCTCCAAAATGTACTACTGTAAGTACTGGAAAGACACAACCCAGCTGCGTCTATAATAATAACGCCCTTTGCAGCGGGTCTACACGCCGCCAAAGCGAACGACAATCCCATGAAGCCTCACATTCGAGATGAAATTATGGACATGGTTCGTCGCAATTTCACGCGCGAAATCGAGTTCTATCAATTCTGTCGCCAACGTTTGCATAAACAATATCTGGCACTAAAACTCAATGAACTGATGCGCCTGGACAACAGTTTAGTTCAATTGCAATCAGCCAATGAGCTGGCCGTCAGGGATTAGTTAGTCGAAAGCTTAGTTTAGATATAGAATCCAATAAATCAATATTCAAAGATCTACGAAGAACTGAAATACCAATAGAAATTCTAAAGTGTAAAGATCTTTTATTTTATTTTAAATATCATCAGCTAATTCAGTTCATAATATAATTTGATTCTATTTGGAATTATTATCTTCGATATCCCTACTGATCTGAGTTCAGAACTGAATGCCTATCGCCTACCTCTTTGGTCATTGTCTTGACGAACCTATGAATTTATTTAATCACCTTACCTGAACTGCTTCGAAATAGTTAAGAGATCTTCGCCCACTAACTTGAACTTAAGCTCAAGACTAACCTAGAGTGAACTCCCAGTTTGCAAGCAAAGCCTAAATGAAACTCGAAACTATTCCCAACCGACCTCCTCCAGCTGCAACGTCTGAGCGCCGAGCGGCTAAACAATACGCGGAATGCTGAAGTCGATGTGCTCTTCTTTAATCGTGCCGCCAAGGTGGGCAGTGAAGCCCTACTGGAACTGTTTAATGCCTTGGTTGAGTATAATGAGGGTCTTATATTGGAGCGCAGCGGACTCCATGAAAATACCGTGAGGCAAATGGATAAAGAGGGGCAACAAGAAGCTGCCGAGTTTGTGGCTGGCCTGGAGGAAGGCACCATTTACATACGGCACATTAACTGGCTGGACTTTAGCGAGTTTGATCTGCCGCAGCCCATCTATATAAACATGGTTAGGGATCCAGTGGAGCGTGTCATCAGCTGGTTCTACTATGCACGCAGCTCCTACAAGAATGCCATCGAGTATCGCAAGGCGCCGAACAAGAAAATTAAGCCCGCGTCCTGGTACAAAAAGAACTTCAATGATTGTGTACGTAGTGGAGATCCCGAATGCCAGTATGTGCCACATACCGTAAAGGATTACGTTCCAAACTTTAAAAGACAGTCGCTCTTCTACTGTGGCCATCATGACGACTGTATGTAAGTAGAGAGAGGATTTGCCACCTTGAGCCCGGCTAATACTTCTTGAGTCCGCTTTGCAGTCCTTTTAACTCGCCCACTGCAATACAAATGGCCAAGGAGCATGTGGAACGGGATTATGCTGTGGTGGGCAGCTGGGAGGATACGAACATAACGTTGACCGTCTTCGAGCGCTATATACCACGTTTCTTTAGCGGTGCCAAGCTGATGTATGAGAGTAGGTTGCAGCTATCATAGTCAAAGTCCCAACAAATCTCGTTAACCATTTCTCCCTCTACTAATCAGTGCATAATAACAAGATCACAAATCGGAATAAGAACAAGCGCAAGCCCTACATTGAGCCAGAGGTCAAAGAGATGATAAGACGTAATTTCACATACGAATATGAGTTTTATCATTTCTGCAAGCAGAGGTTGTACAAACAGTATTTGGCCCTCAACTTGCGTGAGCTGGAGAAGCATGGACTGTTGAATTAGATTCGACTAGGACTCTATATGCATTAAATAAATATTTTAGTAGAAACAAGAAAATACAAATAATACTCGCAAACCTTTCTATCTGTGTGTGTGGTCGTGCCCATTTTGTGTCTAATTCCATGTGTTGTGTCACCTGCACGCTCTTCTCCTAATCCTTCCACTCCCAATCCAATTCCCTACCAGTTGCATAGCCTGACGCCACAGCAGCTGAACAACACGGCCAAGGCAGAAATGGATCGTTTGTTCTTCACACGCTGCGCCAAAGTGGGCAGCGAGTCGCTCATGGAATTCATGGAGAATTTACAGCAGATCAGCGACTTCGATGTCGATCGCACGGGCCTAAAGAAGTCGGTACGTCAGCTCTCGCCCAGGCAACAGGCCGAAAGAGCAGATCACATTTACAACTCAGAACCGGGCACTGTTTACATCGAGCACACATCCTGGATCGATTTCAATGCCTTCAACTTTCCCAAGCCCATTTACATTAACCTAGTGCGTGATCCCGTCGAACGCGTGATCAGCTGGTATTACTATGTGCGCAATTCCTATCTAAATGCCATATTCTATCGCAAGAATCCAATGGCTACCCTCAAGCCTACCGCTTGGTTTAAGAAAAACTTCAACGATTGCGTCCGCAGCGGCGACCCGGAATGCCAATATGTGCCCCTCACAGTGAAAGATTATGTGGGCAACTATAAGCGACAGTCGCTTTTCTTTTGTGGTCACGATCGGAATTGCTTGTGAGTAAAGTTGGCCCCTTCGACCCATTAACATGCAGTCAGACTTTCAAATTAGAAAAAACAAAATAATTCCTTACCTCTCTAAAAATAATTCATTTAATTGCATAAATTGGCATTTTATGATCATTTCTATATTGAGTAAATTTTTTTACAAGTGATTTTACTTTTAAATTGATTTTAATATTTATTAATTAACTCTGGCCCTTTTCTGGCTCAAACGATATAGAATCCCCAAACCGAGGTTATGATTAAATGATAATTTTTGTAAATACGAAAGTCTGCCTCTTAAAGGTAAAGGTTAATGGGTTTGAGTGCTTGGCCGGCAATTTCTTTAGTTTTATGAATGCTTTGCAGACCCTTTGACTCCCCCTTGGCCATACAAATAGCCAAACGTAGGGTTGAAGAGGAATATGCGGTTGTGGGCAGCTGGGAGGAAACCAATATTACACTAACCGTACTGGAGCATTATATACCGCGATATTTTGCGCGTGCCACGACCTTGTATCCATGTAAGACCCTAAAACTAAACGATGTGGAAGTGCCAGAGTTATATATTCTATTGTTTACAGTGTATCAGGATAAACTTCAAAATCGAAATCGAAACAATCGCAAGCCCAAAATCGATGCAGACGTTAAAGCTATGATCAGGCGTAATTTCACCCACGAATATGATTTCTACTATTTCTGCAAACAGCGTCTCTTTAAGCAGTACATTGCTCTGAAGCGTACAGAACTGGAGCGTCTCAATTTAACATAGACTTCGATGCTATTAGAGCACTCATCTCATCAGTTCCAAAGTTATCTACAAGTTATCTGCTTAAGCGTACATATTTACAGGTTTATTAATAAAAGACTTTCCTTTAAAATACCCAATTATTGATAAGAGCAATTGTATTAAAAGGTATCATATTTAGGGTTGCAAAACCCATAAAAATGGCTAGTAGTTCAAAGAAACCTAGGTTTTGGATCAAACCTTGGCTTCTCACATATTCTAAAAATATTAATTCAATTTTTTATTTATAATCTCGTAAATATTTTCAATGAAAAGTATAGGCTAAATTTGACAACTAGTCAATATTGGCAACTAACAAATTGGATTAGATATATTCAATGGACTAGATATTTCTGCATAGGGAGTGAGTCTTGCCTTTTGAAAACATTTTTGAATGAAAATATGTTTTGGAAGATATATGAGCTCCTCTGCTGGTTTTCTGGCAACTGGCTTGGCTTAAGGTTCCGTTCCCATATTAAAAGTGTAATTCCGAGTGTAAAACCGGTTCGGTTCAAAACCTATTTGCAGTCTTGTATATGTTAGTTCTCAGAGTCGAGAGTCCAGTCATTTGAAGTGCAGTCGCTTACACAGTTTCAGACCACATTATTTGTGACTCACCCAACGCTTAATCACAAACCTCTGTGTGTTATCGATCACAATTCTAGCTACAAATTGCCAAATGAAAACCTTCTTAGCTGGTCAATGTAACCACTCTGCGTTTAAACAATACTCGCCGTGCCCGCCTCCAAGTGGTCTTCTTCAATCGTCCAACCCGCGTGTGCACCGAGCAACTGGTTCCGCTCTTGCGCCTTCTATCGGATCATAACGATCTGAACCTGGTGCTCAATGGACCGGTGCGGAGTATAAGCAATATTCGCACAGCCGATGAGGAGAAAATTGAGGCCGAGTGGGTGAGCCGGCTGGAGAAGGACACACTTTACATAGCACACGGCAACTGGATAAACTTTACGCAATATGGACAACACAAACCCATCTATATATCGCTGGTGCGGGATCCAGTGGAGCGCATGATACAACATTTCTATAAGCAACGCACTCGCCAGAAACTGATCATCAGTCGTAGCATCTATCCGGGCTATCCACAGCGAACAAATGCCTGGTATAAACAGAGCTTTAATGAGTGTGTGCGCAGTAGCAGTCCAGATTGTCAATATATCCAATATTCAATCGAGGATGCCGTGGAGGATTTCAAGAGACAATCCCTGTTCTTTTGCGGCAATCATGAGGATTGTTTGTAAGTAAAGTAAAGCCTAAGATATCCCTCTATGTCGGAATGCAGCAACTACTTTCCAACTATAGACCCTTCAATACGCAACGAGCGGTGCAAGTGGCAAAGCGCAATGTGGAAAAGGAATACTCCGTTGTGGGCACATTGGAGCAGCCAAACGTTACCCTGACAGTGTTGGAAAAGTACATTCCGCGGTATTTCAATCATGCACCATATCTGCACAACTGTAGGTTACCCATGCTCTATTCCCATCCCAGTTCCAGCTCCATTCTATCCTCTTTTTACAGTGTACAAACAAAGCTACCATAATCACAATCGCCGATATGCAATCGATCCTGATGTTAGAGCTATGGTGAGGCGTAATTTTACCCGGGAGTATGATTTCTATTATTTCTGCAAGCAGCGTCTATATAAACAATATTTGGCACTGCAACTGGAGCAGATTATCGTTTGAATCAAATCTGAAATAAACGGAGGGCCTCAAGTGAAATCCCAAATTGTACCAAAAACGCATTTATAATAAATATGTATTTTAACAAAATATCCAGCTGTTTTCTTTAAGTGTCAGATGATTCTTGCCTTGTTGCATTTAAATAAGTTAAATAACTTAACGCTTTGTGAGCTCTTGAAATTGTATACGGTTGCGTTTCAAGTAGTTCATACAGATCTCACTTGAGTCTTAAGTTCAGAGTTCAATATATTTGACTCTATTGTATAGTTGTATAGAGGAATTATATCCTCTTGAAACGATTTCCCCACAGAACACCAATTAAATATCAAACACCAAGGAATGTAAGGTAACTATGGATAATGCTGATGTGGAATGGCACAGAAGTTAGGAAACACTCCCTGATAACTATTAGATACACTTTCTAATCCAAGCATTTCTTATGTCAGATGTCATCGCTTAATGTACGGGAACTGAACAATACACGAAAGGCTCAAATGGAGTTGGTCTTCTTCAATCGAGTTCCGAAAGTGGGCAGTCAGACGTTTATGGAGCTACTTCGTCGTCTCTCGGAGCGCAATAATTTTCAGTTTCATCGCGACGCTGTCCAAAAGGTGGAAACCATACGCCTGGCTGAGGATCAGCAACAGGAGATGGCGGAAGTGATCAGTGAGCTACCAGAACCCTCAGTATTCATAAAGCATGTCTGCTTCACCAACTTCACCAAATTCAATTTGCCGACGCCCATTTATCTGAATGTGGTGCGGGATCCCGTGGAGCGTGTTATTAGTTGGTTCTATTATGTACGTGCTCCCTGGTACTTTGTGGAACGGAAGGCCGCATTTCCAGACCTTCCCCTGCCGCATCCAGCCTGGCTCAAGAAGGACTTCGAGACATGCGTCCTTAGCGGTGACCAGGAATGCACCTACACACAGGGCGTCACAGTTGAAGGCATTGGCGATCATCGCCGTCAGAGCTTGTTCTTTTGCGGCCATGATTATGAGTGCACGTAAGCTGCGCAGATCTGAACGCATTGGCAGTGTCAATTTAATAAAAAATAATTTCTTTAACAGTCCCTTTAATACTGTAGGCGCCTTGGAGCGCGCCAAGTTTGCCGTGGAGCAACAATATGCGGTAGTTGGAGTACTGGAAGATTTCAATACAACACTCTCAGTGCTGGAGAAATATGTGCCACGTTTCTTTGAAGGCGTGCGAGATATCTATGCAAGTATGTCAATTAAATAAAAAGTAACATTGGATTTATCTCTATAAAAATGTATTCCTTTTGTCATTGCCAGCCAGCGCCGAGTATCTGACAAAGATCAACAAAAACAACTTTAAGCCACCGGTCAGCGAGCATGTCAAGGATATTGTGCGTCGCAATTTTACCAATGAAATCGAATTCTATCAATTCTGTCGCCAGCGACTACATAAACAATATCTGGCCGCCCATTTGCCGCAGAGGATTATAACAGCGCATCCGGCGGCACTGGGGCGCAATTAAGTCTCCTCTATTGTTCGAAATTGTGTAAAACATTTGTATAAAATATAATCGATCCTGTAGTCAACTGCGCTACCCCCTCCTCCATTCAATCCACACACATATTGTAGTAAATAATTGTTTATCATTGTGTATATTTCAAATTGGTTATAAAAGTTATTTATATGTTTATTAAATACATAATAACATATACATATTTATATTGTTTAGTTAGTGATTATGAAAAATGCATTCGAATTGTGATGTCTTCAAGTGAACTGTTGAAATTTTTTGTTTTTAAATACCTAATTTTAACTAGAATTAAGAATTTTAAGCTCACAAACTGTAAAAATAATAAACGCTATCATAAGATCTATGAACTTTGTCTTTTCAAAGACATGAGTGAATTGCGACTCATGATTTAAAGTTAAAACTAATGACAGACTTCAATGAAATTAATTAAAGCTATTAACTATTCTTTAGAATTCCCTTTTTTACAATTGCAACACGTAAAGGCTCTGGTGTGAATCATAATTGTCTATAGACTATGTATTTAGTTCTCAATATTTTTTACACGTTTTCCTATATAAGCCTATAGAATGAATTAAAAGAAGTTGGCATCTACTATTACCTAATGATTTCATTTTTAGTTTGCAAAATTCATATAAAATTCACATAAACTATGAATGTCAGGCCCATAAAGTAAACCCTCTGAAATTATGAAATATATTTACCACACAAAGATAAAACCAAATATAATATAATTTTTCATGAATAATTAAAGATAATATGACAAAGCAAGCAGAATATATTGAAATAATTTGCAACAATAATAAATCTGCGTTGGGGAACCTGGAAGTGTTTTAATAAAAAATATTGAAGCATTTCAAGTCGACTCGAAGTTCATTTTAAACAATGAACCCATTGCGATTGCAATGGCCTCCTCGTGGTGTTCCCTGGGTACCGAATATGCATGTCGGTAGCTAATTCGAGCGGCGACCTTCAATAAGTAAAATATTAGATGTAGATGTGCATCTACTGTTTTATAGCTTGTCAATATTTTAAATAAAAAAGGTCTTTTCACATTTATTTATTAAAATTCTTTTACTGGGAAATCATAAAAGTAGACAAAAATGTTATACAAGCTTTTGGTAAAAATCTATTAAATATTTATTACTTAATATTAAACATTTTTTAAAATAAGAAAAACCGCTTTTAGCGGTCCCAATCTCCGTAACAAAATTTATAAATTATAGCTTCGGGTAGGTCGGTTTCTTATTTTACAGCATAATTGTTGGAGGCATATAGTGTTTACATTTCCCTGAGTGTTATTGCTATGTCTAAGGTAATGTCTTTCCAGATTGGTTACCAAAAAATGGTTTTCAAGTTATTACTTAAAAAAGTGATGTGAAACAAGAGAAAATTGATTATGCACATAATAACTAAATCGAGGAAATAAACAAACGAGTAAAACATTTAACATGAATTGTACATCTGAATACTAAAATATAATGTAACAGTTATTGAACAAAATTGGGCGAATACAAATTGGTCTTTTGAAGACTGACTGCTTTTAATTCCAATGCTACAGCAACTTATAGCATGCTGTGATTAGAGTCGGCGTAGTTGATCGATCAATCTTGCGCTTCTTACTGTGAGAAGGGATTGCAAAAATACAAAATTGATAAAATTAGCAGTTGATTCATTTAAATGACACTCGGACCTACCTCTTATCACCATACAGTGGATAGAACTCATCAGGTTTCATGTCAACACCCGGACCAACCTTAATTCGTTTTACGCATACATAAGCCGGATTCTTATCTTCGCAGGCAGTTGTCTCGACCCAGCGCTCCGGAGAACGCAGGTAAGCCGTCACGGGATCGCTGTCAACCATCTGCAATACACGCTCATCGTATAAGTCCAACCACTCCTTTGAGTCTGCCCTCACGCTCATCAGATGCGGCTTACAACGTCGCACAATCTTACACAAGATTTGATCAAAAGCCAGAGCCTTGGGCAGCTGATAAGCGTCAATATGAAGACGCCAGCGTGCCACATAGAGTTTGTATATAAGATGATAGTCATCATAGCGGTACTGAATACACTGGCCATCCGGTGAAATGCGAGCCTTGAGAAATACATCATCAAATTGCATCTCATCCTCACTCAGCAGATTCAGTCGTTTATTGTCGCGCCGTAGATAATCCCACTTATCCACATCGAGTCCATTGCGACTGTTATGCACAATATCGAAAATGTAGCCATGTCCCATCATTGGATACGTCAACAGTTCACTTTTGCCGAGTATCAGCGCTTTGATTAGCTGCACACCACGTCCATTGTTATCATCGCGAAGTGTGCACAATTTCGTGCTCTTCATGTCGCCAAAGATTTTATCCACGCAAACCAATCCGTTTTGCTCATGCTAGGCGCAAATGAAATGTAAATGAATTACAATATAATTTTGAATACGAACAGCTACTCACATCGAAGCTTTCGCCACAAACTTGTTCCCAGTAATGCGAAAATGGACCATGTCCAATATCATGAAGCAACGCTGCAATTTCCACCGCCTGTCGGCACCATTCCGGCAAATCCCGATCATAAAGTGAATTACGCTTTAAGGCATTCAGTAGATCTTTTGCGCTCCTGTATGTCCTGTAATTTAGCTGCAGTTAATACTTTTTCTTATAATAGAGGATATTGCTTACCCTATGCAGTGATCATAGCGGGTGTGTGTGGCCTCCGGCTTGGCATTTACCGAGAGCAGTCCCAGTTGTTGAACTTTTTTGAGGCGCTGGAACAGGGCATGATTGACTAACTCCTCGATGTGGCTTGGAATTTCAATAACTCCATGAACTTCATCCTCAATGAGCATCTAAACAAAGCGCAAAAATATGAACAAAATCATTTTCTTATCAGTTGAACGACAAATTATTAATATCACTAGTTCAGTACATTTGGTAAAAAGGAAAGGAATTGATTGCTAAAAACTGTAACTTTGCTTTTATTCTTGGACACAAATGTGTCGCCTCGACAAGCAAATGAGAACTGAGAAATTCAACTGATGAAGCCAAGATATCTACTGGTTAGGCAAGTTCCTTATGAAATACATTATAGAAAGTGTGTATGCTCGACACATGAGAGGTTCAAGTGGTTTTACAAAGTACTCAATTATAACACAAAGCATTTATAACCATGCAGTGTGCATGCCTCTATATGGATATACATTTGAAATTCTATCTTGGAACAGAATAGACCACAAAAGAGAGATATGAGCTAATATGCAACTAAACTAAATCTGATAAGTTCAAACAGCCTTTTGCGTAGCATAAGGAGTGAAAGCTGCGATATGCCCCAAATGTATAGATGTAACTGGAGGGGATAAACAGCTGTTCTCCCAGCTAGACAATTGTTATACGGTTTCCATGACAACCAGATTGTTGGGTTGGGTTCTGATTGAAATTGGTGGGCATGTCTAATCATTAAATAAATAAATAAAAAACGCACTTACATGTGGAGCTGCTGCCGCCGCATCGCTGCTCGACTGCTGATGTCGCAATTGAAGCTGCTGCTGCT